AATAGGTAATAACTATAATTCAAGGCATCGGTGCTTCAACAGTGATGAAAGGACAGTGCCATTTCATCCACCCACAATGTATCAGTGAGTGTACCGTGAATGCTGTCGTAAAATGATGTCTTCTTTTGATCCAAGTCATTCCAGCCACTTCCTTTCAAAATCTTTTGAAAAACGAGTTAACATTTAGCCGATGTTGCAGAGTATAGCGTTGAAAAGGTCGTGATATATAAAAAAAATCAATAAATTTTTTGAAGCTAAAATTAATATTTGAACATAAATAAATGTCATCGCGTCTCATGTGTGAATAAAATACGATTAATCCCGTTTGACATCCCTGCCAGAAGCAGAGTTGACTGTTCGATTCCGACTACATCATGAACACGTGGGGGCGGTCGGGTAGCCTAATGGTTTAAGCGTTCGCTCGTCACGCCGAAGACCCGGGTTCGATTCCCGACATGGGTACAATGTGTGAAGCTCATTTCTGGTGTCCCCCGCCGTGATATTGCTGGAATATTGCTAAAGGCGGCGTAAAATCAAACTCACTCACTCACTCATGAGCACGTGTTCACTTTCAAATATCTGTTTCACCAGGTGTTCTCGAAAAGGTGAGCGTATCCGCCCCACCGGTAGCACCCGTCAGAGGAATGCTCAGTTAGTTTAATGTTTTAATCAATGTTGAAGATATAAATGATTTTTTGCATGAAAAATCTAGTTATCAAGCAAATAACGCGGAAGTAAAAATGTATTGAGGTATTGAATAATATCACAAAATCTACAAAATCGCTGATCATACATCCAGTTCTCATCTTGGTATTAAACTTTCTTTTCCAGTAGCCTTTCATATTCAGAGTTGATATTACAGGCATATTATTACCCATTAGTGTTCAAAGGTCGAGCGTATGAAGTTCCCGATATTTGCACCTATCCAATGATATTATGACGTCATTCGCCCATTTCTCATGATGTCGAGAATTGACAAAGATTCGTCATCAGAGCGTAATTTAAGCTATCGATATATGGAACGATCTGAGAATTGTAACCACAAAAACGTGGCGATCAACATTATTGGGAATGTGATATTGTTGATATATATATATATATATATATATATATATATATATATATATATATATATATATATATTGTTTTTCTATTCAGCGTGAACAATTTTGTTCCGATCTTGTGAATGTGAGTGAGTGAGTAAGGCTGAGCATTCTTCTGGTTCAAGACGTTATATACGATACCAATTATAACCGCACGCAATCCAATTATTCCTTGTCGTTCAGATCGGATGATGGCTGATTCGTCTTTGTTGAAAGAGTGCTGACACTGAGCAAATGTCACTGGGTGATTGCCTCATCAACATCTGTCTCTTGTCTTGAAATCAGGACACCCTTTGCCTCATCAACATCTGTCCCTTGTCTTGAAATCAGGACACCCTTCTGGGAGTTGAGGCTTACTGAAGACACACATCGGCAGATGGATTTATTATAATCATAAAAGAAATAAAACAGAATCTTGAACACGTCCCGTTTATGGTAGAATCATTTCAGAGGCTTGAACAATGGCATAACATCATCTCCTTTCTGTAGTTGTTCAAGGTCAAACAAAACTCCACAATGATGAAGATGAGAAAATGTAGACCCCTTCTAATAGAATATAAAGGATATAGAGAAAGTAAGAAAACATCGATAACGGTTATGCTTATGAAGCCACATTGCTAAATGTCAAGGTATGTGGAATATTGACCTTAGGTTTTTTTATGTTCAAAGCATTAATAGTAACTATTAGAATTATCTTTTTTGGTTTCTGGCTAAGAACAACATTATTTATGTCTTGTTTGAGTCTGGTATGTCATTTATCGGACATTACTGACAAACGGATGTACGCAACAGCAGTGTATATATCTATGGAACTAACACATCTGTGACGTCGATTCCTGTTCTTTAACTGTGTTCATTGTAAAACTGCTGCATTGTATTGGTGGCGTAACATTATAACACTCTCGCTATGCCACGAGTACTGCTGTCCGGGGTCAGGCAGCCAGCACAATCTTTTCACGCAAATTGTGTGCTTTGCGGGTTCTACCAGTAGAGCTGGACATGTTTAAACCCTTTTGGTGCTACGACTGATTTTGCAGTGATTCATTCTTATAATTTTCACTGCCTTTTACGCCCAGTGGAATCTATCTCGTCGCAAATGGTTTATTCTCTGTCGTTGACGTGTTGTGTTAATATACTCATGTCTGTATTGTATGACAGCACAGAGGAGGGGAGGAGTTACAGCCCCAGCTGAGCAATATCAGCCCAATATGTTTCTGTTTCTACTCCTCTGTCTGTTCTAAATTACCAAAAGGTCTGAACACCGATACGACAGCTGCTGTCATTGTATGTCAGGGGTTTGCTGTAAGGCGTCAAGCAATAATTCTTACTTTTTATATGCAAATTGTGTGCTACCGGTAGGACAGGACATTCTCACCCTTTTTTAAGAACACCTGGTGTCATCACTGATTTTCAGCTGTCGATGCATAGATTCTTACTGCTATTTTGCCCTTTACGCCAAATGGAATCTGTTTCGGTGGATAATCAAGACTGGTGATTCTCTTGCATTGACGTTTTACGTTTTCGAATATACCCCGAATAATATCAAAAGGTGAAACCAATCTTGCACACATCATAAATATCAGACTTCCGTTATCAATATTTCTTCAGTTTATCCGGATGCTCTAAATCAGGGCGTCGAGATGAGAAACATTCAAAGTATTGATGGCCTGCCGGCGTGTTGCAAACCCAGGTTAGACTGCAGGTCAAATATGTGTCGCCTGGCGTGTGCATTGATTCCAACAGCCCGTCCCAGTAGTCATCGCTCCTCGCTGCTGGAGTCATCCTTTTCTTCCCTGGTTTGCCTTGTGCTGTTCGTTTGTGACGGGTGCCACCGGTGGGGCAGGACATGATCACCTTTTCGCGAAAAACTGGTTCCTGAACACAAACTGATGATAGAGTCAGAATCGTACAATCGAATTTTTCGCAGTGATTTCTAACAAATATGGAAAGGGTTTGTCGCATTTATTTATGAAATTGCCGGACTCTGTTTTAAGATATTTCTTAAGATAATCATAGTTGTGTCGCTATTATTTAAAAAGAAACAAGGAATTGATGTAAAAGAAATGGGTGAAAAAATCGTTTTCAGGTATCGTCAGTATTAGTATTGTGTCCCCCCTCACTCTCGTCCCTCCCCCCTTGCAAGAGGTGCGGTCGGGGAGTCTAGTGGTTAAAGCGTTCGCTCGTCACGCCGAAGACCCGGGTTCGATTCCCGACATGGGTACAATGTGTGAAGCCCATTTCTGGTGTCCAACGCCGTGATATTTCTGGAATATTGCTAAAAGCGACGTAAAACCATACTCACTCACTCACTATTTGCAAGAACGGTAAAGCAATTGTAGAACCTAGACCATCAAGTGTTATGTATATCTAGTCTATTCTGATGAATACCCGGACCCTTCCGCTAACATAGCTTCTTTTAGGAAGTCATGTCCCCATATCCATCGCGCTTATCACCAGCCTCGTAAAGGATGTCTCGCGCTCATGCCCATGGTTGTATTGGACGGTTCTTTGTAGCGTTGTGTCTGCCCATCTTCCCGAGGCAAGGGAGTTAACTGACTACAAAAGTCCAGTTTCCACCCTTGCCGAACTAGGCTGGCATTATGGAGTTACATTTTGGCTGGACTAACGAGTCTATGCATAGTCCAATCAAAATCTCGCAACGAAATCGAAATCCGGTTCCTTAACTGTCGTGCAGATTTCTGTCGATTGCCGGATTTGCAAAGCATGTGCACCGCGAACTCGTTGTCAACAGATATTTTCTATATCTTTTCATGTTTTTAATCAAGGTGCTCAAGTGATTTGATGCATTTCGCGATGTAATACCAGTTTTATCACAATATAGATCTTGATTATCGATCAGATAATCCTGCCTGGGCGCCGCAATTTTGTTTGAAGCAAATGCAAGTGATACGAGAAGTGGAATCTGATTGGTCCATGGGAGAGACTTAGAAGGGACATAACTCGTAATAGCCACTGGTGGCGCTACGATCGAGCCCAGGAATTCCAGCCTAGTTCGGCAACGGTGGAAACTCGGAGTCAGTTTACTCCCTTGCCTCAGGAAGATGTGTCCGTCTTATTGGACTCAAAATGAAGCTGTGATGGCGGATAAGTCCAGGACGTTTACTGGAATAAAATAGGGCTATGATACACTGACGTATCGGAGATATTACTAGAATTTGACAGAGATAGAGGAGTAAACTTGTATTATTAGCGAGGGAGGTTATTCTAAGGGATATTTTCCTCGCACTATAACTCGCAAGCAGTTTTCAAGAGGAATCAATGTTCGGTAGCTTGTTGCTAACATCAATGGATGTATGTTTACACCACAAGAACGCTCTTGCCAATAACTGAGCGGATAAACGGGGCCGCTTTCATGCCTAGTTTTCAAATGCCACGAACACTTTGGCATTGAAATGCTTTAGTCGTTAGAACTAACTGTACAAAAATAAATAACGGTCATATTACGGGATATTATATTTATTTTGTATCACCGTTGAGATAACAAACAATCATATCGGAAACATCTCAATATATTTCACAAATACATATACAAATATACACATTTAGATAGAAAATATGATTTTACTTCATAGCAATATACTTTATAACATGTATTTTGAATATTTTCCATCATTTTATTGTCCTGGATTGACAGGTCCAGATACAGCTATAATCCTCTTGTCACGAGTTCGACCAAACAAATCTCCCAACATGATCCTTGGTTGGTCAGCACCATAATCGTACTCGCGGGTTTCACGAAACATCTACCCGTGAAGATCTGGGTTAGAATTGGTCTTCAGCAACCCATGCTTGTCATAAGAGGTGACTAACGCGATCGGGTGGTCAGACTCGCTGACTTTGTTGGTGCATGTCATCGTATGCATGTAGATTGATGCTCTTGATGTCAGTCACTGGATTGTCTGGTCCAGACTCGATTATTTACAGACCGCCGTCATACAGCTGGAATATTGTTGAGTGTGGCGTTAGCAAAATACAAACATACAAACAAACAAACACCAAACATCTCTTATTTGCGTCACGTTTCCCCCACGTAAAGCTAACACGCCGCAAAAAACCGAAATGCCTTTCAGCGCGGCTTTTAACCTTCACTCAGTCAGTGTGCGTGATGGCCCTGGTAGAATTCTCATAAACTATATAAAACATAACTGTCACGTTGTCTAAAATATGTAATACTATCTAGAAAATAAATAAAAAGTGTAAACTTTTTTGGTATCATGGTGTTTGTCTCTGATATAACCATGTATGAATTTGCTTATTTAATCTTGATACCGCCCCCTGCTGTCATGACTATCACAGTAGGTCGATCAAGATTGTAACAAGCAGACCATTTCACGGGCCCTCATCTCAGAATATCTTTTATGTACAATGTTTTATGTACAAGTAAAACTTAAGATATCAAATTCATTATTTTGAATCACTAACTACAGTCTCAACGTATGACTTAAAACCATAAATCGATTGTCTAGAGCATTGACCTTCATAATGCAAAACGGCAGTTATCACCCCTTCAGGGTCATATTTCTCTATATAGGTGTATGAAATTGAGAATTAAGAAGAATATTTGAAGAAATCAGCTGTTGGCGATTATAGGTTTATACTCAATGTATGTAATGGATTTAATTTATATGTCATCTTTACAACTTCATAAAAAACGAACATAACATTAATGGCAATCGTGTGCATTCTTTACCCAGGCTGAAAAGACATACTTCACATGGACTTACGTAACATCCATTGTTCCTCTCTCAACACGGGCATGTACAGAGTGACAACGTGTGGGCACGGTACAGTTGTTGCTGGAGGACAACCTAGAGGTTAAAAACGACAGTGCGTGCTGACAAACAATGATTAAATATAACCTCTAATTTCACACACACCTCCTTGTGTATCTCCGTCTGTATGCATTCAACCATAGATCTGATGTCGACAGCTTAAGTACCCTTATCAGTTAATAACACCTGAAACTACTCTTTACCCCCGCCTGTCTCCAGCAACACATGATTTGTCAGAAGGTAGCGGTTTACCTGTCCTTGCTCGAGTGATGCTATGCTCCAGCGGTTGCTAGTCGATGGTGACATCTTGGTAATAAAATGATACGCCATTTTGTTTATAACAGAATATATAACTGACTGTTCACAGAAATGAATGTATTGAGCTATCGACTTGGCACCATTGTGATACATCCAATTGCGTCATTTCATCATCCACTTTTGATCATCTATTACATTACCCTGTTTCATCCATATTAACAGAATTCAAAGTCAGACATGATTGTTCTCCAGTCTTTGATACTAGGCATTTAGAAGTTGAGAAAACACGAATAAATGATACATTTTTATGGATAGCAAGAAGAAGCTGAAATGTCGTACAAAGAAAAAACAATTTGCTATGCACACAAAAGTGTCATTTATTCAGGTTCCTCCACTTTATGACATCTCTCCATGCAAATTCAGGCACAGAGAAACAGTTTGATATCACAAGAGATTGGTCATATCCTTACACAACAGTCCAAACGAAGGTGTATACCACTGTGACAGTGACACAAATGTGTGGACGTTCCATATTCCTTATGAATGGTCTAGGATGGCACTAGTCGGACTGTACAATGGTGTCGGAACCGCTGCTGTCGCTGCTGCACACGTTGATTCCAGAGTGTCCCGTCTTGGTTATGGAGTCGAGGGGAAACACCTCGATTTCCGGAATGTTTGGCGCCGATTCAGTCCTGTTACAAAGGCAGTCTTGTAGCCTTGAGGACTTCCTTCTATGTGACCTCGACAGATGGAAACTGTCCTGTGACACAATGTCCTCCTCGAATGGAAATATCACATCATGGTCACATCCATGGCAGGAATGGTTAACACTGTGGGGAACTTCTGAGTGTAATCTTTTACACTGATGCACAGCGGAACAGCTAGGTCTTTGAGTCCGCCGCCACGAATCTGAACCGTTGTTACAACTGTCGGGGTTGCAACGTCCGTAACCGTTCACGTGCACACCATTCTTACCCCTCCACTCCTCTTGGGTGTTTCCATTGCATGCAATATGCTCCAAAGAATCAAGCATTGTACTCCGAGTCGCAAGCAACTCCACCCTGGGCTGGTGTATGGCACAGCGACGCGCTTCAGTCTGTTTGCGGGAAAAGAGTCTCCCAGCAGCCAGTCGGAAGGATGTACTGGTCACACAGTAGATGATGACGTTCCAGAAGCTGTTGCTTAGCGCTAACCATGTGACCGAGAAGTCCAGGAGAGGGTGGACCTTTACGTCTCCCAGCGCCATTACCAACTGTGTCACAGTCCAGGGTGTAACGGCAACGAAGAACCCGATGGTGATGAGGCCAAGAGTCTTGGCTGCCTTCAGATTGAGAGACCTTCGGGAACCCTGAAGCAGAGAGAAATGTTAAATTCATGTCCATATATTTCGTTTATATCACAGTTCTGAGGGAGATATTTAAACTTAGATATTTATATTATTTAACTTATATGGACTGCCGTGATTTATTGTATTGCTGTTGCTAATTGCTGTTCTATTCTAATACTTCTTGTGATTATTTTATTACTAAACCAGCGGGGATGCAGACCTGATACGTTATTGTGCTGACAAACCAATTATCACAATCAGACCGAATCAGGGATTGAACCTATACGGTCACCGGATCCTGGCACGACTAGAAGATGCAACTCGAAGTGAATTGGTCATGTGTGTTCCCTTGACGAGAATTTAATTCTGATTATGTGAGACTGGTTTCAGCCTTGTATCAGCCTTATTTGAATAATTGCATAGCACAACCCTTGATAAGGCGAATCCTTGTTGAGAGGGAGAACTTAGAACTCAAAGCCAGAGAATAATCAGTCTAGAATATCCACCGAAACAGATTCCATTGGGCGTAAAAAATAGACAGACAGACAGACAGATTTATTTCGTATGTGTGGCCATGAGGCCAATAGTACAATGACATTTTGTTGTAAAAAAAATAAAAAAATAGCCGCGCAAATGATATGAATTTATCACTGAAAAACTGATGGTGCGTAAAGGGTAAGCATGTCTTGCTCTTACGGTGGCACCCACCACGCACCCAATTTTCATTGAAAAGTAAGTGCTTATGAAGAAAGTAAAAAGTAAGTACAGTATTATTAAGCTCAATCGAGGTTAACGGAGCTCCCAGTCAACAAACCTTGTGAAAATAACTCAAGACAATTACAGATTCATTTACACAAACCGATTCAATTCCTTCCTGTTCAGAGTGAGTCGCTCTGCCCCTCGGCCCTGATTACGAAGTTTGCAATCGGCCTATTTCTGTCAGCCAGTGTCAATATGAAGATGCTTCTCGATATCGACACGGTGAATCTGTCTGAAGCTTGTGACAAATACACTGGCCGTTTTCCTATGCATATTTATTTTTGTCAAGATAGATGATAAGCACAATATCTCACTTTTCAACACGTGATGTTAATTGCCAAAAAATCGGCATTACTTGACTTCTTGACAATGTTTGCAGACTGTAATACTCTAACACTTCAACTTAGATGAATTCTTCATCAATATCACCATTCCCATTTCGACTGTTTAACATCAGTCTGCTCTCTATGGAGGGCTGGGAAGTAAAATATCGATGATTTCAGGCCAAACATTTGCTATTGGAGTATTCTTTTCAATAGATGAATGATGTCGAGATATTTGGAATGCATGGGCAACTCTCTCAAATAACTTCAAACTTATTTCAAACTATCAAAGAATTTAATGATTCAATTCAAATATTACAAATGAGGATTCAAAGAAAACCACTATCTGTTTGCACGACACGGAAATTGGTTTAATGTGTATAAGCACATCGGTAAACTTGACAACGAACTCTATCATTAACATAACTGGACATAATGTCTGAAAGCAAGGCCACTGGACGTCGTAATTAATTTATTAATACAGTAAACTACGGTTATAACGAACACGCTTATAACGAACTGGCGGATATAACGAACTTACTTTTTAGTCCCGACTATTTGCTGTAGTTATGCTGTATATATGCTTATAACGAACTACGGTTATAACGAACTAAAATTAGTAGTCCCTTTGAGTTCGTTATAACCGTGGTTTACTGTAATTGAATCAGATTGTTTCTGTGCTGCTTCCCTGTTCCATGTCCCCAGTACTACTGTACAATTAAGACAATTCATAACATGGTGTGTTTCTCCTCTCCGAGCTCGAGGCAAGGAAAGACCTTGCTTATTTAGACATGCCTTTGGCTGTGAATCCAATGTGTAAGTTGTCCGTTGCAGTAGGTATGTCCCAATATATTTCCCAATTTGGAGAGTTGACGTCCAGAGGTTCAAAAGGATGATACAAAAGTTCCCAAACAAGTTCCAAAAGTACATGACCATGTGCTTATAAACTCATGGTATTGCTACATCGGTGTCGACAGCTTCAAAAATCGAAAAAGCGGAGACCTTTAAAGATGGAAAAAAAACACCTATAGGCAGAGTATTTTTGATAAAACAGGAAATTGGTTACACAACTGTCTGACCTGGATGATGTATTTTCGAATGGGCGAATGTTTAAGATGACTTTATTTAAAACTAATTTAATTTGGACTCGTGAAAGATGGGAAAACAAAATATATAAAATACAGATTGTCTAACAGTGCTCTCTTCATAAAAGAGAAAAATCTAGTTGTGCTCAAGCTGGTTGGTTGGTTGGTAGGTAGGTTGTTTAACGCCGCATCTGCAATATTCAAGCTATATGACGGCGGTCTGTAAATAATGGAGTCTGGGCCAGACAATCCAGTGGTTAACAACATGGGCATCGATCCACGCAATTGGGGTCGATGACATGCATCAAATAAGTCAGCGAACCTGACCATCCGATCCCGTTAGCCGACTCTTACGACAAGCATAGTCGCCTTTTACGGCAAGCATGGGTTGCTGAAGACCTTTTCTACACCGGATCTTCTCGGGTCTTGTGCTCATGCATCAACCTGAACTTGCTTTAATCATCCCACTGGTACATGTATATATATATCGTCTCCTACGGAACTTGTTGAAGTACATCTAAAAAAGAATGCAATCTTACAATCTTACGGATTCCCGACATGGGTACAATGTGTGAAGCCCATTTCTGGTGTCCCCCGCCGTGATATTGCTGGAATACTGCTAAAAGCGGCGTAAAACTATACTCACTTACTACAATCTTACGTCACCTAGGCAGTATTATAATTTCAGAAAATGTTAATCATGAACAAGAACAAGAAACGACGTAACCCTTTTTGTTAGTTTCATCTACAATGCTCTGTGCAGGTTTACCATTCCATTAGGCTGTAACGTTCGGTAAGTAAGACCAGAGCTAAAGGATCATTAGCAATTCTTCCATGAATTTTATAAAATACTCAATTTTGATTGATCAATCAGAGGTTTCAAATCACAATAAACCCCCTCTAATTGAATAGTACTACTTTTACAGTCATTGTCTGTGGGCATATTTAAATAATTATAAGTACAATTATAGTGCTACACTATTCAAATGATGTGTGACAATACATATAGAGCAGAAAACGCAATGGAAATCTACAAAGAGAATGTATTTCAAGTTTTGATGGCGCTTTTCTATATACAAGTGTGATGTCATAACCTTGCGTCACAATGAACGATATGACGTCATACAAGTGATGCGCTGTGATGTTTGCTAATGAAATTGTCGTGCTACATGCACGTTATGGACTGCGCTTAATTAAACTTTTGAAACCTCATGCTGCGCGTTCGGTTGCAAATTCAATTTCGAGCCGATAAATCTACATGTAACCTAGTTCTGCAATGAAAACCCAGTATGTTTAACTCCTATTTATACATATTCAGCTGGGACTTAGGACACACAGAACAATAGATAACTAACCGTCCCACGTTGTTTTTCGATGTTGCCCTTTAGTTTGTGTTTAAATTTCAGATTCACCTTTGTTTGGGTCAATAGTTTATCGGCATAACAACCGTATAAAACTACAATATAGATCCTCCATCGCAATGAATACGTAAAACCCGTATCACTGTCCACAACAACATAACCATCGTATTCGGGCTGAAATAGGCCTCAATGAGTGAGTGAGTGAGTTTGATTTTACGCCGCTTATAGCAATATTCCAGAAATATCACGGCGGGGGACACCAGAAATGGGCTTCACACATTGTACCCATGTCGGGAATCGAACCCGGGTCTTTGGCGTGACGAGCGAACGCTTTAAGCACTAGGCTCCCCGACCGCCCCAGGCCTCAGTGAGTGAGAGCATAGTATTTCACCACTTTCAGCAGTAGGGTACATATATACCAGCAATACATAAGCAGGGCACACCAGAAATGGGCTTCATGCATTGTACCCATGTGGAAAATCGAACCCGGGTCTTCGGCGTGACGAGCGACCGCTCTAACCAGTAGGCTACCCCACCGCCCTGGGCTAAATGACTAGAAAGGGTATATCAGGACAGGTATCTCCTTCCAGTAATACTGACTCTTACTCCAGATGTTATCCTCCACAAATAGTAATAAACTACAACAAAAACTGAAAACACGAGCGTACCAGGATAGAAGTCGTGTCTCACTCAGAAGCTCCTCCGTAAACATGTTCTTTAACTTGTCAGCATAATTACAACAAGCCGAATGTACCCTGCACTGAAAATAACTGTCTGGGCACAAATGTTGGGGACGTGCATTAACTCTCACAAAAATAATCATCTGTCTGGATCAAGTTCAAACTTGTTCAAAGTTTTAATTAGGAACTGGTAGATCTGTCTATATAGAATAATTATCAGGAAATAAGATCTATATTTGTACTAGAAAATAATATTTGCTCAGCATAGAAACCAGGATCAGTCGTAAATACTTGTAAAACTAAGCCCAGCCATTGATACATTTGAATTACCTACCACAGTAGGCATCCGACATACCATTCCTCTATTATTCACTACCGCCTCCGTGGTCTAGTGGAGAGCGGAAGGTCCGGGGTTCGATCCCCGACCGCGTCATACCAAAAGACGTTAAAAGATGGTACTTGTTGTTACCCTGTCTGGCGCTCGGCATTAAGGGGCTAGAACAAGGACTGGTCGGCTCGGAGTCAGTATACTGTGTCTGAGTGAGGTATTCATGTTAAACTGCGGCATGGTATCCCAGTGAGCTAGCACTATAAATCGGCATCCGTCCGGACTAGTACAAACAGCCAAACAAACACACACACGTACATACACGTCGCTATATAAGTGCAATAATCTTGGACGCAACGTTAAACCCCATTTCACCTCACCTCACCTATTATTCACTCCGGGTCATCAATGCTCGTAAAGGAAAAGTTTGGCATCGTAAAATGACCCTAGGTGACAGTGAGTTGAGGTCAGTATGTAGATGTTCT